GTCTCTCTCTCTCTCTCTCTCTCTCTCTCTCTCTCTCTCTCTTGCATATCAATCTGCATTTAAACACATTATACTTTGATGAATTGGTTGGCTTGCATGGGTTTTGAAGGCAGCAAAACCATGTCCAACAAAGTGGGTTTAGAAGGAACTAAAACCACATCTAATGAGAACTATTTATATATGATTTGCAGATAGACGTTGATATAGGTTCATCAACTGTTGCCAATGGAGTGCTTGGGCTGGTATGTGGTGTTATAACTACGTTGGTGGTAGACATGGCCTTCCTCATTCAGGTACATAGCCCAATCGTGCTTTAACTATGCAAACTTGGTATGGAAAGCATGTCATACACCAGTGGTGCATGATATATGGAACACAAGGAAAGTCAATCATCCGTTCCGAATGATAGACATGGAGGTTAACCATACCAATGGAAATATCTTTCATCAGTATCTGTCTGTCATTCGGGGTGGTCTGAGGCTAATGCTGTGGTGTACTTTGTCATACTTCACTTTGTAACCCTTTTTTTTTTTTTTTTGAGAAAAGAAAAGCCATGGTTGAAACTGTAATCATGCACATCTGGGTTGTTTCTTGGTGTGTTTCTAATTTTGGTTAGTTTTTGTGGAAATGGGTTGCAACAGGGCCAGCGAGCCTTGAAGGTCTTGCCTGGCAGAGTGAGTCCAGGCCTGTCGTAGGGCTAGTTGAGCTCGGCTGAGTCTTACTTGAAAGCCCTTTAGCTTAACGGGCTGGGCCTCGGCCATAGTATGAGGTCTGACAGACCTTAATTATATAAAATTTAGTTCAAAATGGTGAAAATGGGTCGGCAGGACCAATGGGCCTTGATAGCCATTGCATGCTGGGTCCTGGTCCCTTCTTAGGTTCCCTCGGGCCCTTCGATCAAGGTTTTTTAGTTTAATGTGCCCGGCCTGGACAGCCTAGGTCTGAGCCACTAACACCCCTAAGTGGAATCTTCATACTTAAAGTTATTTGTTAGTGCAAAATTAAATTCCTGCATTTCGATGCTAACATGATCTATAGTAATAAAATGCATGTGAATGGTATCAGGAAATATTTATAATGCAAAATAATGGAACATTGAGAAATTGAACTCAAATGTTTTTGCTGATTTATGGCAGGCAAACACTCTTGCGGAGCTGCCTGAGCGCCTCATTGGGGCTGTACGTGTCTCTCATGTCGAGCTATCATCGGCAATTGTTCCTAAACTCGATGTAGAACCTGAGGCTGATGTCAGCCAATAATGGTAGGAATGGAACTCTCTCTCTCTCTCTCTCTCTCT